CTTCAGATAACGTTACTCACACTGTTTACTTACCAAACATTATTCAGCTTATATTACAAGAGTTGGTTTTGCAAATTAGAAATGTTTATGTTTATTTTATACTAGCTTTTGCCCGCGACTTTTTTCGCGTGGAATATCGCGTGGTGTAGACTTCCTGCGGATTTTTGGTTTAAAAACTATCCTATGTCCTTTCTTGAGTTCCAAACTATGTCTGTACCAAATTTCACATAAATAGGTTCAGTAGTTTAGGCATGAAGAAAAGACAGACAGACAGAGTTACTTTCACATTTTTTTTGGATTATTAAGACAGTTATACTTAAGCATGTTTAAATCAAATGCATGTTATTTAAGAATTCATGTAAATCAGTCAAAATAAGTAGGTATATTTTTGACGGGGAAAAATGAATTAATTACTTCTTCGGCTCTCGGTAGAGGAAGAGTAAGTGATAGACTCTTACTGACTAAAAACCCCCGTTCTAAATGTCGGCCCTATTTGGCTCCATCTTCTATCTTCACGGTTAGCGCAGTAGCAGGGAACTGGCTGCTGTGCAACGTATCGCGGGTTCGATTCCCGACAACACTTTGTTCAATCCACAAAATGTTGTTTCGGGTCTGGGTGGCTTGTGTATGAGAACTCGACTGCTTCTAAAAGCACCTACGACACAAGAGAAAATCATAGTGCGGGACAACATTAAAAAATATCTGTAATACGTATATGTGTGAGAATTATGTATGCAAGGTTTTCTTTACGTAGGTACCTACAATAGGTATATTATCTATAAGTAAGTCTTTGAAATCGAAAACAGAAAAAGAGTACATAATAGTTTTATATAAAGCTTCAGTAATATATCTTCGATAACCCGATTATCTTCAACGAAGTGATCTAATCACAAGCTTTGAGCGCACTTCAAAGGACTTAGCAGGGATCCCACGCGTCCACGTGTAACTTAAAATCAATCATGAACTTATAAAACTTATGTCCATAAATCATTTGCATTTTAATATTGGAATATTTATAAAGCAGGTATGGCTCTTAGTTGCGGCTTTGTCTGTTCTTCAAACTTAAATACGTTTCTCTACGTCCAACCATAAACAGATTGGTTGGATGTGCAGTGTTTTTTTAGGTTCGGCACGAATGGGTTGACTCGCCCGGAGTGATACTAGAATCTTGCAGCGAACAGCAAGCGTTAGGTAAGTGGCTACCAGAGGCCTACGCAATCTTCCTCCTCCCCCATCCCATCCCCAAATCCCCAATCCTCAAATCCCTAGCCCTTGAAAGCCAACAACGCACTCTCAATACGCCTGGTTTTGCGGGTTTCCATGCCATGCGGATTGCTTACCATCAGCTGACATGCGAGCTCGTTTGTCGCCCTACGCCATAAAAAAAAAGGTTAGATAAAGAATAAAGAAGTAAACAAACAATCTTTTTTTCGCATTCATAATAAAGGTTGGGATCGTACCTCTACTTCAAATACAATAAACAGCGAACTAAAGGTTAAACGAAAATAGCTCATTCATAGAGGTTTTACAAAGTGCGAGGAAACTGCGGTCATGTATTGTGAGCTAAAAATAGTTGAGTGTGTGTCTGAAATAATGTACGAAAGTGAGGTACAATTCTACCCCCTCTCTCTTATCCACCCTATGCTGACGTAGAACGCAACTAAAGGATCATTTGAAGAGGTTACATAGCAGCATCTTACGTGGAATATCTTGTTTACAACCTTTTTGGTCCAACGTCGCCATTTTGAATTTACGTCACATCTTTTTTTAGATAATCGTGCTACTAAATTGTATTTCGAACACCGTTTTGCTGTGGTTTTTTTTAGTAATGTAACCTTTTTAGTATTAGGTATAAAGATGGAAGTTGCAGAAAATCTTATACCTTTAGACGAGCACATCTTGTTATGAATCTCAAAAACGGCTTTAACTATATTATTTTCGTAAAATTTTGTAAACATACAAACATGCTTATATATATACATACAATTCCTGGTGATAAATCGATACACCTAGAATTCGTTTAAAAACAATGTATTAATAATACTGACTTAAGCTTGGTCATCCAGGTACCGTTCGTTAAAGATCGACATTATATAAATGATAGGTTTTTATGGCTTTTAATTATTTAGTATTAATAAAACTACAATTTTAGACATTGAACAGGTTTCCATCACTTGCTCTACTTAATCCATTTCTAATGCCCCTAACCCCTAACTCATAAAGATAAAAAGTACTCCGTATGTTATTCTAGGCCATAATATTTTTTATAAATGCCAAATTTCATTAAGATCCTTCAAGTTAGTATTACATTAAAGATTACAGACACATATCCATCTATCCATATTCATAAACTTTCAGGTTCATAATATAAGTAAGTATATATAAATTATAAAATAAATGTTTTAAAAAATTCCTTGACAAAATATAAATTAATTTCCACGGAGTAGACATTAATCAAGCTTGTTTAAAAATATGAAGGTCGGAGGCTAACTGCTTTTACCTTCAGTAGATCAAGTTCCTAAACCGAGTCAGGACATTTTTATATCAAATATAAAACGTCAGATTACCCTCACATCGTATTTTATATTGTTTGACCCTTAATTTATGATTTGAAAAACAGTTCGGCCGTAATTGGGTCCATGAAAAAAGAGGTCATAAAGATAAGCAATTATTTTGGCGTATAATATATTTTTTCTTGGGAAAATTATTCGCTGGCTAGAATTATTTTGTTGTTAGTGGACTGACACACGCTCTTGGTTGTTACAGGGAAAATTGAATTATACCTTATAGTATAAGGGTGATTTTTCGGTTTTTATAAAAGCGTTGCCCCACTCTAGGATTCTCTCCTGTGTTGTGTGTAAAGATATGGTTGGTATTTAGTCAATAAGATTTCTCTCGCGAAAAATTACGTGTCGAATTTCCCGCCACAAAAAGAAAACGGCCGTAGTCAGCCGTGGGAGAGCCAATGTTGGGTACGAATGGGCCGGCTCGACCGTCCTCACAGAAAACCGGTGCGAAACAACCACAGCGTTGTCATTCGCCAGGCTAATCTCTGGCCTCTGCCCCATCCTTTCCCAATCCTTAAATATCCGAAAGCCTTATCCCCCAAACGCTGGCAAGGCACTCGTATCTCTTTTGGTGTTCATGGGTGGCTTATCATCAGGTAATCCGTCTGCTCATTTACCGAAATATATCATAAAAAATGCATCGTTAAAACGGAGTATTGTATAAGTAATCAATAAATGTCTGTAAGTACGGCAGTAAGACTCTACAATGGAATGTACTTATTAATTAGTTCAATAGTCGTTAGTCGCACTTGTGTGGTCACAAATAATTCGAGTTCGTGTAGTAAGTAGTAGTTGAGTTCTTAACCTTTTCTATTTTAGTAATTGTGTTACTTAAAATAATATGAAGGTACTTATTTTAAGTTTCTCTCGAATTATATCGTGTACCTAGTTCATAAATAAATGTACAAATCTTTTAATTACCTTAATAAATTCAATTTTTCGCTACATTAATAAAAATGTTTACCACATCTAAAATGTTCTCAAAAATCCCAAACAAACGCGGTCACGCACCTGTTGTTTTTCCATTGGGTATCGAATAACCACGATTGAAAGGATAATAGAACAATAGTTAAACAATGCAATGTAAATATTTGAAAAAATACTATGCAAAGTCACAAATATACATTTCTATTATTATATTCTAAATAAACAGTTCCATTACAAATACCTTTTAAAACAACACACAACAAACTCTGGCACCCCTTATCATTTAGGATCGATCGCTCATCCTCTCATACATGATCGATCACTTCCAAAGCGGAATTGGGTTAATGATTAAATATAAACATATTGGTGTCACGCAAATAACTTATTTACACAAACATACACGACAGATACAGTTACAATAATTAAAGGGCTCAACTCAATCAATTCGAGAGCTTCCCGGATGTTTAATTTATGTAGTTGAGATTTGTCGATGTCAATGGTAATTGATTATGTCAAACTGGGGTAAATTTAGTATGAATTAATTAGTTTCGTAGGTCAAAAATAAATTGATTCAACGTTTCAATACAATAAAATATTGAAAAATAACTATCTATATTTTATTCATCGATCGATCGATACACTAAGTTTTAGATATTTTTTAAGCTAATTATTAAGAAATAAATAAGCTATTTAACGCAAAAATTTTATGACGTCATAACTCAGTTATTCATACAAAATTCATAGAAAAGTATCTATAGTTTTTGACGTTTGGATAAAAGTATTGATACAGTGTTTTATTCTCGATGGGTGAAATTTATCATTTGACCTCTTTCCTTGTACGGGGCGAGAAGGATTGTCAGAGTCTTACTGACTAACAACCACCCCGTTCCTTCTCCTACTCCAGGCCGAGGCCATGGTACTTGCCCCAAAACCCCAAGGAATTGAGACAGTTGCATTGCGTTGCACAATTTCTATTGATATGGTATCTTTAGCCTATGTATTATCGGGTGATCCGTCTACCCTTTTACCTGCCTCACATCTCATCATCAACCTACAAGTGCCTACTGCTGAGTAAAGGCCTCTTCACACAAGGAGAAGGTTTGAGCATTAATCAACACGCTCTCAAGGCGAATTTAAAACTTATAATTAGCAATTTTAAGCCCAGAAAAACTTATAATTGTAAATTCTTATAAAAAAAAAACCGGTTTCCTGAGGATGTTTTCCTTCACCTTATGTCATTGGTGTCTGTACGATCATAGAATACATACATATAGGTAACTCGGAAAAAGGCTCGCCGGCCTAAGCAATAAAAATTAGTAACTCGTGATATTAAAATGAAATATGTAAGTGTATAATCCATAGCCATGTACCTACTGTCCATCACTTCAGAGAATAAATTGTCTAGTTAAATAATCTACAAATGACTAGACAAGATTATCAGTTCATGTCTAGCTCAACTATGTTGTGCAGAAATAGGATACAAACTAATTTATAATCTTGTTGCAGCGGAGTCCAGCAAGGAGGGTGAGATGAAAAGCGAACACGTGGAATACCACCGACTCGGTAAGTAAGAAGTTGTCAACGTTAATTGTATAACAGTTCCGATGCTAATCCGATTACACAGCGAAATGTATAATTGAATAATTGTTCTGTTTTAATGGCTACATTTAGTTCATTAACCTTTTAATTCGAGACAAAATAGTCGACCAATAAGTGAGCGAACGGCGTTCGCTTGGTTTGGCTTGGCTTGGCTTATACAGTGAAATTAATATAGATAGATTTACAAAAGAAAAATCGAGAGAAGTTAAAGGTCGTAATTCGATTGGCATGTTAAATTAAATTATAGATCAGTAATTGCATAGAATTTGGACAACATCCTTCTATAGATTTTAAGGGAATTTGTACTTACATACTCAGATATTAAGGTATAATGTGGTTTTGGTATTTTAAAAATATATTTGAAAAGAATATGTAGTTACAATTTAAAATTTTCGCAATATCAACTTAAACTGATCAATTTATGGTCTCAATAGCCACATGTTGATACATTAAACATGTTTACGGGACGCACCCAACAACGTAACCCAATGACACGCTCGTTATCACGCTAGCGAGCTAAAAGCGATATTATCGCGGGACTAGATAATTAGGCACTGGCCAGTAATAGCCTGCTATCTACATTAAACTTCTGTTACCTCAGTTATCAGGTTTAGGTGAATTTGTCAGGCAAAATTGAACCTAATGATAATATAGCTAAACATTACTTACACTTGTAAGAGATATGATGTTAAGAGGGAGACACATTAGTCAGCTGTATGATCTATCCTACTGTCATAGATATGTCATGGTGTCATGGTAGCCGGAGGTTAAGGAGCCCACTTCTCATACATGAGGGTGCGGGTTCGAAACCTGGCAAGTACGAATGTGACTTTTTCCGAGTTATATGTACTTTCTATGATTATTTAGACACCACTGACATACGGTGAAGGTAAACATCGTGAGGAGACCTGGACTTATAATTTATAATTATAAGTTTGAAATCGCCAACCCGCATTGAGCAAGCGTGGTGATTAATGCTCAAACCTTCTCCCTGTGAGAAGAGGCCTTTGCTCAGCAGTGGGCACTTATAGGCTGATGATGATGACTGTCATAGAAAGCAAATTTTTCTTAGATAAGCTTTTCATTAAAAATACAGTGAAATCTAGATATAAACAACATCGACAATAGAAAACGAGCTTAAAATCGAACCAGCTACATTCTACAGGCTAATTTTCAGAATGTTTACACTTAAAACTTCGCGATCGAAACATTCAAATACCATAATTCTTACAATAAGGCTAAGTCCTTATTAATATGCCTAATATTAGAATGATTAAATATTATATTAATAAGATTCAAAATCTACACCCACAACACGCTTTATATAGGTAAGCCCACGCTTTATAATTCCAATATAACTGAGCTAGTTGCACAGCCAAGTGCGTCATGAATAGCGATCGATTCTCTTACAATAGCAGCTGTTACTCATTTATTCATAACTTAAGTTCTCTTTGCGGGATCATCGCGTCTTATATTCCTTAACTAGCGAATCACCCCGGCTTTGCACGGGTGCAATGCTGATACAAACTTTCTCCATTATGTAATGGATGTTATTATACATATAAACATCCCTCTTTAATTACTATATCTATTAATCTTTCAACCGCATCAAACTCCATTGCGTAGTTTTTTTTAGAGATTTAAACATACGTGTAGATATAGGGACTGAAAAAAATAGTTTTGTACTATGTAGTGAAAAGTAGTGAATAGCACACAAAAGGTACTTGTCTAGGTACAGAGAAAGAAGAGAGGTCGAAAGGGCTATAATTATAAACCGAGCAATATAATATAGCAATTCTTACTATTTCTCAGAATTCATGTCATATTAGCCTAGAAGTGCCCAACCCTGAGCAAAGGCCTCTTCTCATATGAGCAAGGTTTGATCATTAATAACCACGCTTGCTCAAGGGGGATTGTTGATTTCAAACTAATAAGTTCCAGGTTCCCTCACAATGTTACTATTCCGTAGTCAGTGGTGTCCAAATACGCTGAGAATTTCGTGAAAAGAAAGCCCTATTATAATGTCGAATGTTGCCAAATCTCTCGATCGCAGGATCGACACATCACACACTTGGAAATTCCTCTTGAGGACGATCATCAAAAAATACTTTCAAGTAACTGATAATTTGTCCTTAAACAGATGCTGTACAAACGAATGGTGAGCTGGTGTCCAGGTTAGAACAGCATGCGTCAGCTGATGCGGTTGGAAGCGAGAAACCTCATGTCCATGCTGAAGCGCAGCTCGATGTACCATCTGAAGGTGTCCATCGGGTGTTAGTTCAAGATGGCAGCCATGTCGGCGTGCATGATGCATCTGCTGTCACAACACCACCTAACGAAGAGGTTACTACTAAGGTAAGATATCTATACTAATATTATAAAACTGAAGAATGTTTTTTTTATAGTTACTATCGTGAGACATACTAAATTCATTGAAAATAACGAGTAACACACACACACACACACGATGACTAACACAGTTGGCTGCGCGATGTCGCTCTACATGTACGTTGCTCGTAAATAAGAGTCCCGTTGTAGCTTGAAAGTAGAAGAGCTGTATTTTTTTTTGTATTTTTGTAAGCGATAATCTTCGGAATTACTGGTCTCAATTCAATAATAATGTTGGTGGTGAATATTCCACTTATTGAGGAATACTACGACACATAGATGTCGAGCACCGGGTGATGCAGCACGGAAGTAGTTAGTTGAAGGAATAACACTAGTAATTCAAAACTGAGTAATCGTTGTAGTATACACATGTGGTTTATGAGACGCCCTCACGCCACTCTCGAGCTAGTGTGAACGTTGCATTTGCCGGAAATAAGTCATATCGATAAAAAATATATAAAAATACCTTGCTCTTACGGGATGACATTTTTTTATAATATTGCCACCAAAATTAAAACAATTCACCTTAAGAGTTTACGTCCTTTTTTGTAGTCAGATAATTAGCTGTAGGTAGCAAAAAATATGAACAACTACATCATTTATAACTACAGCTTATCCAAATTCAAAATAAAAACACTATGGACTCTAAATTGACACATCACTATAACATCCATTCGAGATCTCTATTCATTGCCTAGCCTACAATCGATGAATAAAATTTCAAACAAAGAGAATAGATTCCTAATTCAAATATACTCACATACTCGTTAGCCTCTAGAACGGAGTAAAAAGAGGATTGAAAGCATTACAATGGATCTTCGTACTCTAGAATATCTATTGTGCCCCAGACTGAAAATAAAAGTCTATTGGAAAGCGATGTCTTTTGAATAGATATTGCAGTCACATCGCTGTTATTGTAAAACGAATCTTAATCATTTGTATTTACGACCACATATTAAATAGAAACAATAAATTGCATTCGCAGTAATGAAAAAATATAAATCGGATTCGTACTTAATAGTTCGCATCGGTGACATTCAAAATATACTTGAGCCTTATTTTTTATTTCGTTTGACTACATTCACGGGACCACAGGGTCCCGGACTTTTAGAAGGCGTACGAGGGGCCGAAGCTAGCTCGCAAAATCCCTTTCAACAACTTTAACATAAGTGAAATGGGACATCAGCCCGCAATTATCCCTCTATGCACTATGAAAGTGCACCAATTTTATTATTATTTTTGTTTATACTTTTACAAGATAAAACATCGCTCGTTTGCTTTTGTTTCGATGCAAGTACAAGCTCATTGGCACTATAAAATAACATAATATTGTGTTCTAAGTCCGGACTCAAAGTGACTTTCTTTCCTTCACGTCTATATAAAATGAACTAGATATAGTACGACCACCCGTATCGCAATAAAGAGAATTGAACACCCACACCGCCATGTCGAATATATTGGCCGTATTTCCTCACCATTTATCACTTCGTTCAAATATCTTTCCGCCGATCGTTTTCAACTAAATTGCGATGCGAAGGCATTGACAATAATAAAAGGGGAACGACCTCCTTTAATGTTAAGAACTTTTATTAAATAGTGTGTACAAAATTAAATAAAACGTCAACAAAATATATCGATGTTTCTGAGAAAATAGACAGGTTTTTGTTACGCCCACACTTTTATTAATACCATCTTCAATATTTAGGCTCATGGAATTTCTTTATACAAAAATCGGTGCTAAGAAAATTAAAAAGAAAGTCACATTCTTATACCAACCCACAATAAAATTATTCACAGTAATCGAATGGCAAGCAAACATTTCTACCGTTCCGCAACACCTACACAAGTTGTAAAAAATATCTTATAACAACACAGGGTGTGTTTTTTCTCAGGTGTTCCATGGGGCTGCTCGTCTAGTACAACCGGGACAAGCTACGAATATACCCACTGGTCCTCACACTGCAGTTCGAAGAGCTTTTAACGCAGACATCACCAAGGAAACCAAGAATAATGTAGGCGACTATTTGATTTGTACAAAGTTATTTTGAACTTTATTATTTAGTAATTTAGGCCTATTTCTTTAAAGTCTCTATTTGAATCGATATTGAAAAATACTACTAGCACTGATATAATTTGTTCTTAATACTATATGACATTTGGACTAACTTTGCATTAACAAGACAGACAAAAACATTATAAGATAAAAGATTGTGTTTTTCGAAATTTAAACACAACCCTAATATTAAACACAATAGAGTTTAAATTAAAATAACCATGATTACGATGTAAATGTAAATAAATGTCCAATGACAAATCAATCATTATTGAAATAACAAATTACATAAAATAAGGAATAGGTTCCCGTTGTGCAGCTTGCACGTGTCCCCATGTTTTCAAAGGATGCTTATTACCCTGTAATTTTGTTATTTACCCTTCCTCGCTTCAATTTACTTGTATTTACTTATTTTATTTTTCATTTATCCTGTAATAGCGAAGCGTCGGTAAGTATTTCGATCCAATAAGGGATTTAAGTATTTACGCAGGATTATTCAGGCGCTTGTAAGGAGTTAAGAAAAGTTTGTTTTCAGTTCGGGGGTGTAAAGAAATATAAAATGACACCAGCCTTTCGGTTGTCTGGTAGAGAATGCCTTTCAACATTGTCCGCCTCTGTATGTAATACATAAAGTGTCACATAAATAAATAAAATGAAAGATACTTTTTATTACATAATATCCTTACAATTGGAACAGTGGTAATTTATTACTTTCAATAATGTAATATAGCAATAAATAGTAATTTTAAAGTTGGTAATACCAAAAATAATGGTGGATATTCACAAAGATGACATATAGCCTACTTCTTACAAAAAAACAATAATTAAGTAAAGGGATCTATAGAAATTAAATAAAATTATGACAAGAGAAAACAAGTAAATTTTCCTTCCAGATGCTTTTCTTAGCATTTCATGGGAAGTCGTAAACTTAAACATTATTTAATAACATAACATAACACTATCATTACACGAATTCACACAGCCAATATTTTTACAAAACAATACCAATATAATATATAAGCTTAGTTACATTATCAGTGTTCCAACCACTTATTAGATATTAACATGGAATGTGATAAAACTAAGTACTTATTATTACTAAAGTCCCTACTTCATTAGTCATGTATTTTTTTACTCTATAACTGCCGGGTGACAAAGTACGACCAACACGAAGAAATTTTTGATTCGACTTTTTTAGCTTACTGGCTTTAGGCTATGCTATATGCTATGATTTGTTATGATAATATATTATAACCCTTTTGTTATTAAGATGGACCATTACGCTGCTTACTCTGGCGTTCAGTATTCGCCGTTAGATATGGCGGAGTACGTGTTCTGGACTGGTGATGAACGAGGAGTCACTACTGCCATCGAAACCTTCCTTCAGGAGGGAATGGTGAGTTGCATTTGCATTTCAATGGCCGTGGTTTGTGTGGCTAGGAGTTGAAAGACGACTTGACGACGACTCGAAATCTGGCAAATACTAATAAGACTTTTTCCAAGTTACATGTTGTTTGGTAGGTTGAGGGTTGAAAAACATCGTGAGAAATCCTGGACTTTTCATTTCTAATCTCAAGTTTAAAACCGTCACTTCTCCTTAATTTAGCATGGGGATTCATTCACATACCTTATCCGTGTGAGAAGAGGCCGTAGTCTGTAGTTATAAGCTGATGATGATGAAGCATATTTTATCTTCATCGTCAACTCCTTGAGATACTCGACTGCTGTAGCCCCCACTTACGAGAATTTGCAAAGAAATACAACTTATATTCATTTCTGTTTTCAGATGACAAAGGAAGATGCAATTGCTTTCCTTCAGGAAATAAAATTCAACATTGATTATCTACGAGCGCACTACTCTCAAAATTTGAAGGCGGCTGAGGAAAGTGCTCAACAGGAGAAATTGAGGAACATGCTGATTGAGCAGGCCGAGGCAAAGGTAACATAACATTTTTTAAGTATTACATTTTGTGTGTGTACCTGCAGTTAGCCTGTTTGTTCACTTTTGGTTGGACATATCATTAAGTACCACATCGAGTTGTTAACGTCGAAGTCAATTGTCAGAAATGAAATAACAATAATTATTCGTCTTTTTACCACCCACATCTAAGGATTGAAATAGCTTGCCTACAACGGTCTTCCTGCCCAGTTATGATTTAGGTGACTTCAAGGCTAGAGTGAATAGGCTCTTAATAAACTAGTGCGCCTTACCATCAACATGGCAAATTGTTTACTGCAATCCCACTAAACTATGCACTAGTCTATATAATAAAAAAAAATACCTTGTGTTACTATGAATTCTCCTCTTCTTTCTTGCGACTATGTATAGGTAGAGGTCGCAAGTGCGACTGTTAAGTAAGAGGTCTCGATCAATTTTGTGTCGTATAGACTTGGCCTAGGGTCGGTCGTAAATAAGGAAACCTAAGACTTCATAGTGTCTTCCACCATAAACATTTCTCATAAATACTCATAATGCTCATATGTTTGTGATTGGCGATGACGGCTTGTGTAAGCTTAATGTGACATTAATTCATACTTTCAAGTAATAGGAACATCCTGTAATGATTTAAAGAAATAGATGCAATAAACAAATTTACTTACAACGAAACCCAAAAAACAAAATCAAAAGCTGGCGATAAATCTTTTGAATATTTCTCAGAATACAAAGTTCGGAAGAAATTCCCTTGATACCTTACTAAAGCCGACAAAAGTTAGCAATATTTAATTAAAATGGCTTCCTGCACATAAACAAGTCTTTATTATGGGTGTTCCCTAAATCAAAACGACTCGTTGTCTATCGGCTGCATTTTTGAGTCTCATGGAGCCGAAGTTAATCTGGAGGTAATGGAACAAGTTGCACTGGAAAACTAGGCACGTGGCTGCGTACAGCTTAAACGAACCTATTAGATGTCTTCGAAACGAAATAAGTTATACTGCAAATAATTTTCATTTCTTATATCTTTCAACATTTTGAAAAGCACTTTAAGACAGAGATTCCCTGAGCAATTTAGTAGGATGGAAACAATAAAATCTACTGTTACGCACAGGTTATCCGTATAGTAACCAAATTTCGTTTCGGTGAATTTAGAAGGCCCTTGTTTTGGTCTGATGTCTGTTGACTTTAAAGCCACTTTGGTGTCGGCACGTGTTCGAGTCGATTTGTAACAAACGAGTTAGTGGGCTTCGTCTGCCAAACAGTGGGATTGTTGCGATAACAAAGTTTTCACCGGTTGAAGTTTGTTACCTACTTGGTAAACCAAAGTTGCGTACATTTTGAGGTGACTTTGGATTTCGTAAAATTTCTGTCACGTTTATATCTGTACTTATAGCTTTAGGAACGTATTAAAAAGAAATTAAATTGATCTAGCTAGCAGAACTCATATATTACCTTCTGAGAATAAGTTAGTAAATTAAAAAGGTGACTGAACTATTTTACTCGTAAACAACTTTGGTTAATGGTAGTAAACGATCATCATTTACACGTAAAATCTATTAGATTACACATAAATCATGATATTTATTGAACTGTACCGAGTAAACTAGCTTTTATTGTCCATTGATTAAAATGAATGGCGTAAATGTTATTGTGCGTTTTATTAAAACACGGCTACATAGTCGGGGTGACACGAGCCACGTTTATTTATAGCCTTAAGCTCAAAAAGTGTAATTAAATGTCACTCAACGCTTTGCGGTAGAACAAAGTGCCGAGAAAAACGACGAAAAAGGCCACAACCGTGATAAAAGTAATGTGGGTGGATCCCTCTCTGGAATACTTAGTACAAAGCGAATTGTTTTAAAATTACAGTAGACTTATTGAATTCGATACTCTAGTATAGAAACATAACATTTTAGGTGACGAAATTACTTTTTTGTATTAAAGCAACTTTCTATCAACCGGTAATATAATTCTTATTTGATGCGATATATTGTCGTAGTAGTCGTAGCAAAATACTACGAAACGTAGCACCTGGCTACGAGATACGAGTATATCTAAACCGTGATCTAAACGATATATTCCTTCAGAATATTAAACGGTATTAATTAGTCTGGTCGATATAAAATTAAAGCCACTATAATAAATTTTTATTATCAGATCAGAACGCCATATTGATTAATAAATTGTTTTGTTATCGAAATTAACGTTAAAATGAACTAGCGTCCAATAAAGGAGTTCATTTAGTTCTCTCGTCGTATCAGTATGTAATACTCAGTTTTATGTATCTATTAGACCCATGTGTCACATTGGGCGTTCGCTGAGTGTTAATGAATCTTTAGGGCTCATAAAAGTGTTTGTGATATCGTTAAGTATAAAAATAGACTTAATATTATGATGTTTACATGTTTACAATAATATGCACAGTAATCGACAATGTACAAAAGTTGTTGATATACCTAATACGGTCTTAGTTTATGTACGTAAAGATTGCTTTGTTGATGTAAATTATGTGAATTAAGAACGTTATTAGAAATTCTTGGACATAAAGAGATCACATATAAAATATAGCTGCAAATTCAGAAAAAAAATAGTTTATTATGGTCTATTAAAATTTAAATTTCCTAATTGGTCTGCTGAGAAATGATTCGAAAGAATAATGGTAAATAAGTAGAATATAATTAGGGCCCCGCTTATTTTTCGGTATCGTTGTAAGTAATTTTTTTGTGGTGGTTAACTAATAACTTATTTTGGTATGATTTTTTTAATAAACAGTAGAAATTTAATTAATTATTAGTTTATGTTTTAGGAAAATACTGATTGCAAACATTTTTGCATAAAATTTTTAGGCAAAACACTCTCCAAGATTGTTTACATTTAGTCAATTACACAGATATGTAGACCATAATAACGTTAACATAATGATTTTTCTTATCTTCATTCCAGGAATACCAATACCGCAGTCCAGCTCTTCAGTCATTCCCATTCGGTAGCAGCCCTGACATTATTCGTTCAATTGCTAACAAGAACTGGGAATTAAGTAACAACCTATCGCCCGTGCCAGTCCTGCCTGTCAGCACCGAACTCAGGCCCGAAGCCATCAAGAGGACATACGACCCTATGTTGACTAACAGCATGAGTGAGTACATATACATATAAATGTTGACAAAATGACGAGTAAAGATGACGGATGGATTATGTGAGGAACAAAGGAAAATGCTAGAAAAAGAAGTGTGTTGTGTGTGATGATAAGGATTAATCGTTGGATTCGTTGGTTTCTAAATGGATAAAATATGTCAGATAATTCGTGGACCTTATGTGAATTTGAATACGAATAGGAAGAAAGGTATAGGACAATCAACAACAACGAATAATTAAATACAATTTTTGTCCAGCTTTCTACATACCAGCTATCGGTGCTAGCCAAAATGTGTTTCATTAATCAAAAAGACACAAAATGTTCACAATTGCTATATTATTTTGCCGCCCTAACCCTTGAACTTTCGTATCCCGACTTTCGAGTTTTTTATCAACTGTTGGAGTGTATAAAAACACATTAAAAACCGTTCCGGTTTTAAAAAGTGTCATTATTTGGTTTATTTGATATGCACAATACTTAATTTATTTTATTTTATTAGTGCCAGTACCAGAGTACGAGCGTGAACCACAGGCCTTCCCTGATGAAGAATATGAAGAGATCATGGACAAACTGAAGCCTACGAACATTCCCTACAATGAGTACACGCTTGAGGAAATTATCTACCAGCTGGCTAAGGTAACTATTACACTATACAGTACATTATTAACAGAAGATTGATATCTTTGTAGACATACTTGCATCACTACAATTTTCTGGTACCTATTTAGATAGAGATTGAGCGGAGCCACATACACAAACATGAAACTAATGAATAATTAGGATTACTTAATTCCTGAACTTGTAAAGCTTACATTATCAGAAATAACTATTTCAAACTTTATTGAAAATAACAACTTAGTCACGTGAATAAACTAAGCAAAACTGTATTCTATGATCTATCGGCGACGCACACGCTGCTTATGCATAAGAATTCCGTTGTAACTCGAAACTAGTAGAGCTTTTCTTAGCCTTAGTTACCTATATATGTATTATAAAAAATTGTCATATCATCATTCAGATTATAGAATCACCTGAAAACAACTAGACTGTTTCTGAAATGTTGAGTAGAAGGGTTGAGTGGTTCGCTAACAAAATCAATGACTAACACCGAAGAACGTGAGAAGCAGGGATGGCCCACTAGTTTTCAATATATTCTTCATGATAGTTACTGTGCCAAAACAATTTTAAACGTTTAGCTCTATAATTTAAAATCGAAATTGTGGTATCTTTAGCACAACTTTTTACGCACATAACATCTGAACATTTCTCCATAACTTCCAGATGATGTTCTCCCAGTCGCTGTCCAGAGACCCGGCTTCAGCTCGTTCGGCCACGCGACGATTCATGTCTTTCCTAGAAGTCCAGGCTGAGAGGGGACAACTGTCGCGCACTATTGAGAAGAAAGTGCTTGGTGCGTTTACTTGTGATAATTTGACATTTAAATTGTTTATTTTTTTATTTTATATCCAAAACTAATCGGATTAAGAAGCCTATGTTCAATGATGTAAAGTCTCATAATGCACGTTTCCCTTTTTTTCATCGGATTTCTAAATAAAAATTTATCTATTTGTAGTAAAATCAATTATGAAGCTGATATATGTATATTTTTACATGTTACAGACCTTATGATTGCGGCTTTGACGGACACAATAAGCGACCATCCAGAACTGCTGTCCTCACGCGACTCCATGGCAGCCAATACACCAAATAGGCAAACATTTTATCCATTTACTTTAGAATAAAGCCGTAGTGGACATACACATTAGCACACACGAGAAAAATGCAAAAATACGCGACGAAGTAAGTCCTTGTTAAGAGCAAAATTTATAAATAACAGCAAAAATAATTGACAATTATACCTATTAGGTTTTGCTGTGTTTAAGTATCACACTTTAAAAAAATAATACTTAGGTATTATTACTCCACTGACTGCACGATTGGATTGGCTGGGGAATTGGCTATTGTGCAACGTGTCGCGGGTTCGAATCCCACACGGTACAACATTTTGTTTGAGCCACAAATTCTTATTTCGGGTCTGAGTGCCGTATGTATATAAAGTGCCTGTAAACGCACACTCCGCACAAAAGAAAATCGCAGCGTGGGGAAATAAAAAAAAACTAAATGCGGCACGGCCGACCGTACCACCCTTTTCTAGAAGCAGTAACATTATACATATAGTAGCTACTAAGTTAAATGACTGATTAATATTAACAGCATAAGTACAGGGCACCCACAAACCATTTTTTCGTCTGAATAGATTTTCATCATACCTAAATAGACAACACATAGTTGCATAATACATTCGTTGTGTTCGTATCGTTTTTGATTATTAAGAAATTACTAGATATTCCAATGTTTTAATTATTAAAGTATTTTATTTAACTTGCAGTCTAATGGGACGTCCCTACGAAACCCGAGCAGCCAAACCGAACTTATCCCGTGAAATACTTGCAACCTACAAGAATGAGCTTCTAAAACCACAACCGCTACATACATTTAATTATCAAGAGACAATGTAAAGTGTATACCTAACTATCTATCAATAATTACGAATATATGACACATTTCACAGTGGTATATATTTTGCTAAAGAACTTAACCAAAGAAATTTTATTCTTCGGTAAAAAAAGTCATCAATTCTGTTTGGTAAAGAAAATTAGAATAAGATCATTAGATAAAAAATATACCTTGAGGTATAAACCAAGTATGTACAACTAAGTACCCAAATCAAAAACGTGGAAAAAAGAACATCGTAGCACGACATCTAGTGGTGATATCCTACAAACTGCCGTAAAGTATGGCGTCCAGGTAAAAAACCATTACGTTTATAGCTTTTGTACTCAGTGTCATATCTTCATAATTACAACCAAGTAGTACCTAATTATTTATTATTCTATAATTGTAGAGATGTTTCTTAGATAATATAATTATTGTCCCATATTATTCTCCTTTCAATGCCCTTGCATATTCATGATAACTTAAAAAAGAAACGCAGTAAACAAAAAGAAAAACTTGATCTCTAGTACTTTTAAAAGGAGCCAATGTTGTTTTAAAATTAGTATTATAACCTCTAACGTGTTAAGTTAGGTAAGTAATGTGAAATATATTTAATGGAATTTCGATCCCAACTTTGAAAATTTCTCTATTTCAGGTTGACTAAAAGTTGACCGAAAATTATTAGGTAAGGGTGTAAGACCATTGAATGTCATAATATAAGGAGAGAGAGGCCTATAATCGGCAGAGAATGTAAACCCGAGGAAAATCTCCAACTTCCCCTGTCATTTCAGTCTAAAAGACTATTTTGATTTACGTAGTATCGAGTCTAAATCCTTTATTGTATACCCCAAGAGACTTATTACAGTATCATAAATATATTAAAATCAATTAAATTATAAAATCTAAGTACCTACATTATAAAGGCAAAATATCTGTTAGCTTTGCATGTAAGAAACTCTCGTTTAGCTTGGTTTAGTAGATGAATATAAGTGCTAAATGTAAGATAATATTGAAATATATTTAAATAGTTAGTATAATATTTCTTCATATTTTTCTACAAAATATTCTTCACGTTTCGTCACCACGCTACGTGCATCATTGCTGAGTACACAATGGTTGAAGGTCTCACCGATGATTGTGACAGAAATCGATCCCTAAGTTGGAAATTGCATTAATATATTTTTTGTTCCCAAAAATCTATAACGAAAATCACAACCTTGCGACTAAATTTTCTCGATATGTAGTATGTGTCGAGACTGCCGCCCAATATTTAAAATCAACTTGTAAAAATAATTAAAAAACACTTGTTACTGTTGTTGTTGCAATTCTTTAACGATGATAATAAAGCGTGGTGTTGAAATGGTATTAATTAAAATGTGCAATTCTGTATTTCCCAATAGAAGAAAATGAGCTTACTTCCCTAGAACCGCAGAAAATGCATATCAAAAACATATCCAATTAAAAATCTCATCGATTGTTGATTAAGTAAAATTATACCGAAACGGAAGAACAACTTTTTTAAACCGCAATACAAATTGATGGGGTCAGGAATTTATACAAGATGTCTGTGGAATGCATTTTATTATGCCGTTTGATAGTTAGGTAGGTTTTGAATTATACAGGCATAGTTGAAAACATCATAAGTAGCACAATTTCTTCGATATAATCGCTATATTTTGTTATGAAGATACGGCAAATACACAATTGCACATTGAAAAAAGAAAATCTTTAAACTCTCAGCTACATACCAAATCTTATATGTATAAGTGAATGTATGTATAGTTTAGACTTGTGACATTCTATAAAAAATCACAAAAACAAAAACACGTTCTATAACTGTAAGACTAACATTATATTCAGCATTGTCGGTATTTTAGTGGTTAGCAAAATTTATTATATTTATATTATTCTTTGAAATATATTGTGGATTTAATAAAAAATGTTTTAATGTCACCATGCTTTCATTTTTAGTACCCTGTGTCAATACTTCAGAATATTTTAACCTCCAAGATGTTATATTTACACTCAATAGATACTCTCGACTTTTAAAATAAAAAAAAATAAAATTTATTTTCTGTATTGATTTACAGTAAAGAAATGCAGATTAAAATCATCATGTCGTGAAAACTAAATGGGTATAAGTATAAGTACGGAAAATTCAGCTCAACGTCGAATAAACGATATCGGCTAAGAAAGTGTAATTGTGAGATTCCACTTTGGTAACAAATTTTTTTCTAATCGCAATACAAAATTTGTAATGAAATTTAAAGACTTGGACACTATTCTTGAATGAATGAATGAATATTCTTTATCGTACATAATAATAATAAAAAACACGGGAAACAAAAGATAGTAGGTACCATTGGCGGTCTTTTCGCTAATAAGCAATTTCTTCCAAACAACCTTTGGATGGAGTTTTACTGTAGAAGAATTTTATACATTAACATCAAAATATACATAGGTAACGTTTAAGGAAATTAATAGGTACATATAAAAAAAATATTTTTTCTATTGCAATACATTTATTACTTTTACAGTATGTAAGTTTAATACATAAAAATAAAACAATTTAAAACATAAAAAGCTTATTCGAAGTGGTCTCCATTGGCTGCAATACAGTCCTTTAAACGTTGAGGCCAGTTATCAATAGAAGCACGCACTCTTTCCATGGGAAAATTCTTCACTGCCAATCAAGCGTATGCAATCCATTCAGTCCAAATTATCATGACGTTTAGAGCAAGCCCTACTCTCTAAAACTGACCATAAATCATAATCCAGCGGATTAAGATCGGGACTAGACGACGGCCAGTCTTCAGCTGTGATGAAGTCGGAAACGTTCGTTTGCAACCAAGACTGCGTGGACCGAGCTTTATGACCCGGCGCAGAGTCTAGCTGGAAGGACCATTGTTGGTTATTGAACATGGTGTTGTTAAGGGGCTTAACTACCTTCTCAAGAATGGTATTTTGAAAAACTTGTGTCGATGTTTTGATACCTTTTTCGCAAAAGTATGGCTCAGACACTCCTTCATAGCTTACACCCCACCAAACCATCACTGAAGTCGGATAATGCCGTCATCATCATCATCATCATCATCATCATCATCATCATCATCATCATCATCATCATCATCATCATCATCATCATCATCATCATCATCATCATCATCATCATCATCATCATCATCATCATCATCATCATCATCATCATCATCATCATCATCATCATCATCATCATCATCATCATCATCATCATCATCATCATCATCATCATCATCATCATCATCATCATCATCATCATCATCATCATCATCATCATCATCATCATCATCATCATCATCATCATCATCATCATCATCATCATCATCATCATCATCATCATCATCATCATCATCATCATCATCATCATCATCATCATCATCATCATCATCATCATCATCATCATCATCATCATCATCATCATCATCATCATCATCATCATCATCATCATCATCATCATCAGGAGTGTAAAGCAGCCGAGTGGGAGGTGGTTATTTTCACAAGAATCTTAACACCGCGATTTAGGATTGTGACGAAACGGTACAGCGTCATCTAGTGAGGACATTAAACGAAAAAACTTCTCGTCGTAGTATTTCATTTATAGTAACATTAGTAACGAATTGCTGTCATTGCAAAAGGCGAGGGTAGACATTTGTCAGAAAAAATCGAAAAAGAAAAAGGTCAAATTATAAAAACACAAAAATAACTAAACTTGCGAAGAATTTCAGAAAATGACGCCAGCCGTAGAATGTAAGCAGTTTTTACACCCATTCTGGTAGGCAAAAGGGACTGCCAAGTCTTTGGTACTTAGTATTTTTTTATACCTATATAAATTTAATTATATGAAATGAACTGAAACCTGATAATGGACAAATTAGTACAGGTAACTTCTTTTTAAAAACAAATAAACCTATGATGAATCGCAATAACTTCTATGATGGTTTTTAAGTTAAAACTTCATGGTTGTTTCTTTAATAGACTGATATATAATAGAATATTAATAATAATAGATTGACCCTTGGGAAAGAAAACGCACGAGTTCGGGAAAGGCAAAAAAAGCACGTGTGTGAAATAGCCCAGATGCCGAACGCTACACGTCCCTGCAATACGCCACATATAGAGCAACTGTATTTAAAAAAAATATCAAGTATGAAGGAGGCTTTGGGTTATAAAAAAATATTTTAGTACTTATGTCAGCATTCCAAAGAAATCGCATTGGAAGCCACTTGAGCTTATCACGAAATACGGACACATGTCATGTTCATACTTGCGCAAACCAAACAAAACATGAATCTGATACAAACATTTTGAAGTCACTCAGGTTTATTAAGTTAGTTAGTTAAGTCTTCTCGGAGATCAAGACAGCTGGCAATGCTGGCATAGATCTCAAGATAGATAGGTACTCAAGAATAGAAAGTAGGAGAGATTTTGCAACCGCAACTTTTGTGGTAATAGGCAAGAGGATTCTGCAGATGCAACTAACCGTCGACTAGTTTCCTGAATCTGCACAACTCCCAGTACATTCTGCTATTGATGTAAATCCCTAAGTTCTTGACTTTGGTGATAAACGGTACCTGGATAAGATTAAACCAGAAAATTTTAGAAACCATCCGTAAACGACCAATAACAGTAAACTGAGTTTCACGAAGATTGACACTGAGCCCGTAGCATCTGCTCCACACCATGCTAGGGTATTTGGAAAAAGTCTTTATTAGTTATTCGAAGATCCTTGGATTCCCAAGGAGCTTGCGAGTCAATTTGAAGATCATCTGCATAAAGGTGGTAGGAGGAAAGCAAATTGTTCGACATGGAATAAATAAATATAGCGAAGAGTAATGGAGATAAAACGCCACCCTGCGGCGCACCAGCAGTCGTTTCACTCTCACACCATGAAGAGTATTTTCCTATGGCCGTTGGAGATATGTAATTAAATGCGTTACTGAAATGTACCGTTGTATGTAAGTACCGTTAACTTGCCCAGTCTGTAATGTTGACCAGCGCTGTACTGTGACCAGGATGGAAACCGGATTGAAAGGGATTAAGAAGCTATTCTTGGATAGGAATGGTAATATGGATATAGGACGATACCTACTCGGCTAAGTATGTGAACTGGATTTTTTTTAAATGTGGTAGTTTGGACCTGTTTTCAGGAATCCGGAAAAAAACAGTGAATATGGTATAATTAAGGTTATGTCATAATTATAACAGGAAGGATTTCCTCAAAGATAGGGGATGCCATTTGTGGCTGACACAGTCACTTCCAACGGTATCAGGGGTGATTAACATCAAAAGCGGCAAGTTGATGAAAGACAAAAGATGAATAAACAGAGGTTGGAAGTCTGATGAGTAAAATTAGATTTTTCATTGAAATTGAAATCAAGGAGCTACTAAACAGAAACCTGTTAAGAAAAAATATTTTTTTAAATAACGTCGGTAGTCACAACAGGAAGAGGCATTTAAAAAAAAAACTTTGCCTCACTTTAGGATTTTCTCCTGTGTTGTGGGTGCGTTTACAAACATACAATGTCACATACACATGACACCCAGACCCGAAACAACAATTTGTAGATCACACAAAGTGTTGTTCCGTGCGGGAATCGAACCCGCGAGTTGCCCAGCCACCGCACCAATCGTGCAGTCAAATAATTTATAAATAACTTGTGGTTATGTCCGACTAACTAAAGTCGGAATAAAAAAAAAACATTTATTTGGAGGAGTCTGAAATGTATATTTATGTTGGAGTATCATCATTCCGCTAACAATACCGTTGTGAGGATAAATATTAAATGGTACAGAAGTAAACTGTAAGATCTAGATATACATTGAATAATTCGTTATACACTAAAATGCCATAATAATTGACAACTACACCAACCTACAAAATCCTGTATCAAAGTGTAAAATCTCACCAAGTACTTTAGATCTAGCACTAAAAATATCGCAGTTATATCAAATAACTTTCGAGCCATTATGTACTTTATGTTTTATGCAACAGAAAACAAAGTTAAACATAGAATGTCATAAGACTACAAATAAGCATGCCTACTAGAATAAAAACTGACCCAACACTGTTTTATTTTCACATATTACTACCAGTAGTAATTTTATTTGGCACATTCATAAGCAGTGTAGTTTAAAAAATACTATTTGAAAGACATAAGCAGACATCAAATACTTTTAAGAATACTACATTTTTTGGACACTTAATATTTGTATCATTCACATAATAAATACAATTATGCAATTAAAAGTAACTGTAACTATTGTGCGGAATGCAGCAGCTATGTTCACTATATTGTCACTTCACTGTGAGAGTACAAAATTGTTATAAAAATATGTCTGTCTAAAGTTACCTTATAACTAATGGGACCCCGGTAAGGGTAGCAAGCCTGTTCTGACAAACCATTTCCATGATAGGAATACCCTGCAGTAATTCGAACCTTAATATATTATCAAAGATTACAACACTATTTTCTGCTCAGAAGATTCTAATATAATCAATTTTCTATCCATTTCCAGCGAAAAATTAAATCAATTGACACAAATACTACCATAACCCTTGATTAAAAAATAGTGTTGAAATCTTAATATAAATGCAACAATTTAATCTGAATCCTCTTCTTGCTCCTCCCCACTAGGGCCCGCGTAAAACTAATATAAACTGGATAAAGGTGGAAACGCATTCTGCTTGCTTACTACAACTTTCTTGTGTTGATATGAGATATACCCCTTAATTTTACCATCATAAATCAAATTTGCAACTATGCACTGAGTTTCATCAGCATCTACATCATCATGTCCCATCAGTTGTAAAGCAGCTTGGAAGCTAGCTATTTCAATTTGATGGCTATTTTCAGCTAGATAGACTTTCCTGAATAAATTCCTATAAGCTGTAATCTTTAATTTCTCCACAATTAAATATATACCAGCACTAATAAAGAAGCTTTCATGTTCCTCCATTACACGATCTATTCCTCTCAAATCACCTTTCTTCACAGCAGAGACTAGATCCCAGAATTGCATTAAGTCATATTTCTGTAGCAACTGTATGGATGGCATAAAGCCCAGTAACATTTTGACTGGAACTAAGTAGGTTAGAATAAGTCTCTTATTCTTAATACTTTGCTTATGACAATTGTGGAATGCAAATGAGAGATAATCATCAGCAGATCTATAATCTGAATCGAACATAGCTTTGCGACCTACAAAGTATCTATAGGTGATTTGTTGGGCTAATGGGAACTGATCTTTGAATGGTGAGGAATCAATAGCTCTTATCAATGGTTTGCATAGGTGAAGCTTGTTAATCCTAAAGTAAACTTTGAGGAGTTGGTTGACAAGTGTCAGCATTCCTAATCTCTTGGTGTCAGCATCAGATGAGCGGTTGTCTGCAGCACAGACCCTGAAGCATGCTAATAAGCTCTCTGCCGCTTTTTCAAGGATCTTCCCGTTGCTTTGAACTGAAAAAAAAAAGATTATAATCAACAATCAAAGCATTTAAATGTAATTACTACAACAGACAGAATTTGACAGTTACCTAAAAAAATGTTATTTATATTATTTATTATTCAGATCTTCATTGGAGACCCACAATCCTAGTTGATAATCATTGGAGATTCAAAGATATTTTCTAAGGTTTTAAAAATATATATATATTGCTCCACACAATGGTTTTCTCATTTGTCCCCCAGAAACAGAAAAACTATTTGTAAATTACATAAAAAGTAGTGTATGATGTGGGAATTGAACCCACATGTCATTGCATGGCACCTGATTGGCCAACCACCGCACTGCAAGTGTGCAGTGAATTGACAAATTATTTGAACTGTACTTACGGCAGCTGGCTTCAGCTTTTTGTGCAACAAGCCTCAGGTCCAGACAGACTGTGTACATAACTGGTAGGCCCCAATTCACTTCCTTCTGATTTTGTAACAGTCTTACAACACAGGCCACACAGGCACTCTGATGTTCAAATGCCTCCATGAATTCTCTCATATACAGTGACTGAAAATGTAAAATATTTATGTTATTTAAAGATAGTATGGCATGTTTTGATCCAAAGACATAATTTTATAAAGATTTATATTCAGTGGGAATTCTTAGGGGTGAGGTATATGTTTCTTGGTATTATTTCAACTAATTCTAAGCAACTTATGGACCTGAAAATGTGTGACAAAAAGATAAGCCCTCTTTGCAACGCCTGTTAAGCTGTGCCTGTTATTTTAATTTAAGATCCACCTTAACATGCAAATAAAGAATTTGAATTTAAGTTAAGTAAACACTAAAATGCGTGATTTATTAACAAACCTTAACACATAGTAGGTGACTGATCACAATCTCGTCCAGCGGAGCCACACAGTTCCCTTCCACGAGTGTGGCAATGTCACTTGATCGCAAGTTCCTATTTCCAACATGTTCGTCACGAAGAGACAGTAAACGAGCTAGAAAATTGCCCTGAGAGGTTCTATACATGCGCTCGATCAGTTGTATATATTGGTTCAGACTACCGGTGGACGACATATTGAATTGTTATTTGTTAGACGATTACTGTATCATAGTTAATATATACAAGCAGTCAAAGTGAGCTGCGTCTTAACTTCTGTCAACTTGAAGAGTTACTAATTACCTTTTCTTACAACTATACACTAAATTCAATAATACATTTCACCTACATTAAAGATGAAAAGACAAATCGGAAAATTGACAATTAAAGAAATTGACATTTGACATCAACATAAGTATACCCACAGATGTGCATAAACTACCTACCCACAGATCTATACCGCTTTTATCCTGTAATCATTGAGATCCAAATAAAATACGTCAAATGTTATACCTATTTATTTATTTATGCACAAGCCAAGAAACTGCACACAAGGTGGACTTAATGCTATATTCCTTCAATATACCTACTAAAATATAACGTTTGAGATATAAATAGTAACAAAATTACATTATAACCCATATTTCGTAAATTATTGCAAAAATTGATGAAAGATTAAAAACTGATATGAACCAACTTGCTGTACTTGTACGTTAGTAAAAAAGAGTAACGATGGTGACAAGCGACAAGTTTGATTGACAGTGACAAGTTTGCTACTACGCCATGCAATGTCACTGTCACTTCTGTCTGTCACACGTGGGATATTAAAGCGGCGAAGGCGAGGTGTTTTGTAAATTTGTATTGCTAATAATTGTATTGTTGATAATCTAAGATTTATAATGGAAGAGAACGTTGCGTTAGACTCGACGAAACAAAAGAAATTTGTTAAATCCATTAGAGGCATAAAAAAGCTAATTAAGGTAAAAAAATGTGAATTTTATGTCAATAAAGAGGGGTTATAAAAAGAAACGTTTTCTGATATTTTATTGAATGTTTACAGAAAAATGAAAAGAAGACGAAGCCTCAGAAAAAGGAGAAGACGGAGTCTACTCAGCCGCCGAAACCTTTTAGTATGAGACTAAAAGGTGACAAAGTTAATAAAAATAAAAAGAGGCGCAAGCAGAGAGGACTGGTGTATCTTGCACATATACCACATGGATTTTATGAGGTTAGTTTAAATAATTAGACTGAAGCACACCTAAATATGTAAACATCTCCGAAGATGTTGATATAGTTCTCAGTATGAATTAAAAACTACTGCAATTGCATAATATGTCTTAATAAAAAAAATCATTCCTTAATTATTATTTCAGCATCAAATGACAGAATATTTCAAGCAATTTGGTGTTGTTACAAATGTAAGAGTGATCAGATCAAAGCGCACTGGCAACTCTAAAGGTTTTGCATTTGTTGAATTCAAAGAACCTGCTGTTGGACAAATTGTTGCTGAGACTATGAACAATTATCTTATGGGAAAGCGGTTGATTAAGGGTAATGAATCTTAATGTATAACAATTAAGTATCAAATTGCTTTACTTAAATAATTAAAATTGTAACATATTATAATGTATTCTTGCTGTAAAATCTTTCATAATAATTATAGAATAATAAATAGAACTATAATGTATGAAGTCCTAATGATTCCATATATTTACAGCTGCCTATATTCCCCCTGAGAAACAAAAACATAATGCATTTAGAAAGCATTGGAATAGTGTGAACAATCCTACAAGTAACAGAAGATTGAAAATTAAAAAGGTAAGGTAAAGGTCTTCCATTTGATAGAGGACCCAATATTTAAACATCAGACATGTTCAATTGTTCAGAATCAGCATGTATTTGTAACCTAATGTTTTTTTTTATTTCCAGGCATTCAATGCAGACAAAGATGAAGCAACCGAATTAAAAAAAGCTAGGAAACTCTTGTCTAAGTAAGACACACTACATATTAAGTCAAATTTTATAGAGAAAAATCTTTAGGAGAAGAGAATCTTTAATTCAAATTTTTCATTCTGTTTCAGCTTGAATAAAAATAAGAAGAAACTTAGTGATTTAGGTATCAATTATGACTTCTTTGCACCAGTAGATGTGCCAGAAGCACTACTTAATGAGATTGTTAAAGAAGAAAAAGTTGATGGTAATGATTCTGTGAAGGAAGAAGAAAAGTCTAAGAAGGGTAAAAAGGCCAAACAAGAACAAACAGAAAATAAAAAAGCAGTAAAACCTGAAGTTAAAGACAGTGGTAAACCACAAGAAGTAAAGGGGAAAAAGAATAAAAATAAAAAAGAAGACAGCAAACCAGATAACCTACCAGCAGAAGCAAAGAAAGGTAAACCTGCAGAAGATAAAAAAGAAACAGTTAAAAAAGCAAATAAGAAAGATAACAAACCAGTAAAAGTTGATGAAAAACAACAAAAACAAAAGGAACAGAAATTGAAGGATGCTGGTGTTAAACCAGCTGAGTTTATTAAACTAGACAATGATGATTCTGGTGATGAAAGTGGCAGTTCAGATGAATATGCCTTTGACTCTGATGAGTATGAGAAAATGTTAGAAAAAATGAGTGAAAATTCAGAGTTGTCATTTTTGAGTGATGAGGATGATGAAACCTCTATTGATGAAGATAATGAAGAAGATGGGGATGGTGATGAAGGCGAAGAAGAAGAAGAAGAGAGGTTAGTTTATTTGTGTTTCTTGCTGATTTTCTCCAAAGAGGTGGACAAAAGTTTACTTGCAGTTTGTCCATTTTCACTATATGCAATGTTGTTGTAAATGAGGCTTAATTTCAACTTGTAATTTGTCTGATTTAAAGTTTTTATTTATTCCTCATCCTTAGCAATACTACTTGTGACTGCTCCATTAACAAGACAGTACATTTTAAGTAAACATTAATTATTATATTTCAGTGATGAAGAAGAGGAACCACCTAAGAAGACTAAAGGCAAACCTGCTTTAAAAGCGGTTCAGCCTATATTAAGTAAGAAACAGCCTCCAAAACCACAGGCAAAGAAACAACCACCACCAAAACCGCAGGCAAAACCTCAGGAACAAAAGAAACCTGTTGAAGCTAAAAGGAAAGCACCTACAAGTAAGTCTTATATGTCTACCTGTTTTGTAATGCTTAATGGTGGTAGAATGACACACAGAAAACAAGCATATTGCCAAATATCACATTGGTCACTGCACTGGCAACCTATGTTCACGAAGAATTTCATTTCAGTTATTTTCTGTTGGCAGTCAAATGCTTGATGTAGATGTTATTAAAATTAAGCATAGACTATATTCAGCAGATAGTTTCATAACTGCTTAAATTTATTTTTTTCAGAACCAGCAGTTTCACCCAAAAAACCGAAGTTTGAAAAGCAAACTCAAAAAGCTATGAAGAAGCAATTTAAAAAGAAGTAGGTAAATAAATATGTGAAAAAAATATTTGTTTTATTTCAATATTTTAAAGGTGACTAGAATATCTTTAAGTCAGTATGTTTAATCGTAGTTTAATAATGTTTACTATAGCTGAGCCAACCTGGAATGGAAATATGGAACCTAGAAAACAGGAATGACGATTGAATATAAAAAAAAGTATTTTTCATCGTCCATCAGATAATCAATACATAGTATAAAACTAAGTGGCTTACTCTGTCCCTATTTCCTATGTAAGCTTAAATCTTTAAAAACTACGTAAAGGATTTTGATGCGTTCTTTTTTAATATATAAAGATTAAAGAGATTGAAGAGGATGGATTATATGTATGATAAATAACAGCCTACGTAGGGGCTGACCTCGCTAGTACCGTATTAAGATAGATAAAACGAATGATCATAGACTACCTAGCTACGTCACCGCAAAGCATAAAATGTGAGTACCTACATAATTGTGAAATCACACTAATTCAAATCAATACTTTGTCGTTAAAAGTATTAAATTTTAATAAAAAGAAAAAAAAATTAGCAGGTACTATTTATTTATTGACTTCATTTTTCTAATAACTTGAAATAACATAAAACCAATATCATTTATTCTACCAATAGGTATACAATAAAGACATACTGATACATGCGGCGGGGTTCACAGGACACTACTTATTGATAAAAATATTTAAATATTCAAAATTTAATAAAATGTACATAGTACACAACTACAGACTTATCTACTTTGAATGAAAGGTGCAATTATTTAATGGAAAAATGTAAGAATTATAATAAGTATTAAAAAGTTTGATTGACTTATTTTATTATTTGTTCCACTATACTTTGATGAAATTTTAATAAAAATGCCCTGCATTAATTTGTACTTATTGAATAATGAACTTGATTTGGCGTCAATCAAACTTGAAGATATTTATAACCTTACTGAAGCATTGTTGACACCTTATAAGTCTTTCACAAAGAACATTTTCTTTGTTTACTAATACTAATACAAAAATATTTAATTTGTTCTTATAAATTGAGCTGACACTCATTTTGAACCATTCCATTGTCACACTACCTCAGTAAGGCAGTTTTTAAATGTATAATAAAATTATCTAATATGTAAAGTTCACGAATACTCTCTGCAGAAGCCACTATTAGCTCTACCACAGATGGCAGAAGATATCATCTTCAATTAATTCACATACTAGATGTATGTTAAACCTTGCAACCTAACTTACATAATATCTAAACGATTTCATAACTACACAATACTAATATATTAGTAATAATATAAAAAAACGATTCACCACACAAATAAAATATGTGTTTGAATAAATCGACAACAAAATTATTTAATATGTACTCATTTAAATTTGTTATGGAATTACTCTGCCTCATTCAGCTGGACTATAACGGGTCTTTCGTCTTCTTCGTCAGCATCTAAGCCAGTGAAATCCCATTGCAGTTTATCAGTCAGATTGTCTTTGAACCGTTCAATCATTGTTAGGAGGCGCCCATCGACTTTGCTCACATAAGCAGTACGGAAAAATTCACGCAGTTTCTTGTAGACTAAATTCTTGTTCATAACAATGTCGGCAAGGAAATCTTCAGGCATTTCTTCAATTTGTATTTCAATTGTTCTAATGAAATGGAAGAATACGCTGCGGTATTTGTGTATGGCATCATCACAGGAGCACATGAGGATCACCAGATTTTTCCAATGTTCAAAAGCTTCGAGAGAATGTCCGATGAGGAAGCACAGGTAGGCGAATTGTAGTTCGCCAATGATATGCAGAGGCCTGTAAGAAAAAGAAATAGCAAAAATGAGAACACTGAAATGGAATGGGGTAACATTCGACAGATGAGTAACAGAGTAGGTATGATACCTACTTGAGTCAGGCGATAATTCGCCTCATTTATTACATGGGTCTTTAACATCCCTGATGAGAAGTGGGTGTTATATTACATGTCTGTACCTCTATTTTGCTTGTTTTCCTTCATGGTGAAACATTATAATAATTTGAATTTTCTTGTTATAATGAACCATGTTAGGTTCAAGAGTTGTAAGAAAATTCAAATATTAAAAATAGACTTACTCATCATGTTGTGCAATCATGAGTTCCAAGGAATAAGATTGATCCAAGTAGTGTTTTGTAATCTCTTCTGGTGTGGATCCCGGTGGGTACTTGTCTCGTGGAATTTCTGTGAATCTCATTGACATACCTGAAAGTAGAAAAAGTAAGTTAGAAAAATATGCGACCAGTTCTATTTATAACAACATTTTTGTCACTATCTTTATCAAATCACAGTTATGAGAAATGTTTCAAAGATAATTTAAAAATGCAGTTGAATTTTTCGTTGTAAACTTAGAATTATAAAGTTTACTGCTGAACTGTAATTAATTGAAATGACACAGACTCTAATTTTAATGATAACTTAACATCAAGATATTCAAGACAACTCAATATAACAAATTACCTGGAGCAGGTTTTAGATCTGGCAGCATTGCATCCTCCCTTTCTTCTTGTGTGCCCCTCTTTGCTCTTTTAGCAGTAGATTGTCCAGCTGCTTCTTCTTTATCTTCTCCAGACTCTTTTGTAGGCTCTTCCGTACTTTCTTGACTTTCCATCGATGCTGCAGATTTTACTCCTCTTGGCCTCTCCTCATCAGTCATAGAGAGGAGTTCTACAGAAGCTCTGATCATACCATTTTCTGGAGACAGCTTTGCTGCTAACTCAGCTGTAATAGGAATAAGGAATTTGTTGAGAATATTATTTGCAATTTTATTATCTTCATGGTTATTAATCTGATAATTATGTTTCAATGTCACACAAGATATTTACATTGTATGTTGGTTATAGGTACTTTTTCTACCTTGGTTATCTAACCTTCAAACAGACAATATAAGGGAGATATTATTAACCTACCAGGTATTTGAGAAGTAAGTAGTTTCCATTTCTGCCATATCTCATAGGGATATGGTGCAAGATGACGGTCCAAATTAAACAGATTGTCTTTCAAACGTTGAATGCTTTCTTCTGTAATCTCTTCTTTGCTCATATCTTCTGTCTCTTTGTCCCACATTTTGACTAGAAACTCCTTTTTATGGAAGTAATGCATGAAACCTGATCTGTGGACATTGCAACAAGATAATAAGCAACTATATTTTTAGCAAACCAGTGAATTCATAACAAGACCTTTATTAACATAACATTTAATAACTAGTTGAGAATAGTTACAGCAGCGTAGGCTATTAAAATTATTTTATAATGGGTAGTATTGCTTAGCATCATTACTTTCGTAAAGTCATCTGTTTTATGTTGTTTGTTGTGAATTTGGGAACGTGTTTTATCGAATATAATATTTTATAAGCCTTTCAGTAAGAAATACTAACCTTGGCGACACGTCTCCAGTTCCCTTGCTCACTCCAGAAAAATGAATATAATGTAATCCAGGTGGAATCATTTTAATTCCGCGAAAATCCTCTTCAGTATTCCAGCACTGCATATCTATGCCAAATTGTGTTTCTTGAGGTACTCCGAGGAAAACAAATGTTCCTCCTTCGACTAAAAGTTTTTTCGCAGTTTCTTGGTCCATTTTGTTCAGCAAAACCCGAAGTAAATCAATAAAATGTGATAAAAATACAAGCGATCAATATGTTTACATCCGGGAAATGTCAAATTTGTTTGACATTTGTCGAGACGGGTTTCAGAGGGGTCGGGGAGGAGACAAGGGAGGAGGTAAGCTTGTTCGAAGGACCACAGGATAAAAATGACATATTTATTGGCTAACCGTAGTGCAGCGTACACCACATAGATATTTATGTATCTCTCTCTTTCCTTTATCCCTTGTATATCTAACCGAACTAAATAATTTATTCTGAAATTGACTCTGATGCAAGTTTTTACTTTCGGGCTAGAATTTCTATAATTTTTGAAAATCGTTTTGTCTATGATGTAATAATAACAATAAATAGGAGGTCAAGTACACGCCGTCACCTACTACTATTATTTCCTTTTTCTATGATGATGATTTTACTACTTGGTCGAGATTATGTCTATTGTTCATATTTATTTCGCTTGCTGTAGATTTGAGACCAATTCACATTGTAAAGGCGTGCCTATGACATAAGTTATTTAAATCTAATTAAACTTTCAGTAAGTAGGTACTTTTCTTTTTAATTATAATTTAACTTATTGTCTATGATAATTATAATTCTCCTTAGGCAAATCACAAAAAAAACACAGATACTTGCAGTGGCAAACCCATGTAAAGAAGATCTATTGTTACACATACAGCTGTTAACTGTTATGGATTGATGATTTTATCATAGGTAGGTAATATGGGTATCGATACATAGGTACGTACACATACAGTCCAGTGATCATAAATTAATTCAACGTTGCTGTAGCCAATAGTTAAGTAGGTACTTCAATCAATGAAAATGCAGGTAGCTACGGATGTACCTACCTACTTGCAAATATATCATCTATAAGTACCTACTTACCCAATGTAAACTCTATATTAAAAATCCACTAAGAGTGCATACATAAGTACGAAAATTGCGCCGATCCCAAAGAGGTTTGTTTTCCACTTGTGATTTCGTCAGACGAGCGAGCACACTCGTTCGAATAGTTTGCGTTCGTTGAAAAATTCCTACCGAAATTTTAGTCTGAATTTTTTTCGAGTTCTCGCGTCGAGAGGTTAACACAGAAAGCTAGATGTCGAGCATTACGCAGCACCTGCATTTTTGTTTTAGAACTGATTTTTTTTGACTAATTATTTTCAACAGGTGACGAATTCAACGTCTCGAGCACCACTAGCGCCGGCGAGACGGAGCGGCAATCAGAAAAGCGCTTTAGTTTAGCTGTCGCTTGCAATTAGTGGATTTTATGAACCAACCAGACTATCCCACTATAATGTACCTACTCCGGCTTTATTTCGTGGTTTTAATTATCGGCGTATCTGTCTTCTAATTGGTACGGTTTTGTTCTCTTTTTAATAGCTACAAAGAATGAAAATCATCGTTCCTAGCTTAGTTAAAACTAAAGGAAGCAAATGTTAAGTATATTTGCCTCCAGACAGGCCTAGCTTTGGTGTAGTCTGTGCCAAACACGAACCATTACGTAATTTAATTTTGCAGAACGTGTAGAATGTAGAAGTCTCAGAGTTCAAACGTTCATATTTGAAAGTTCGTTGCATTTGATTGCTGCCCTGTCGGTGATTTTTGAGTGGCGTTAGTTCCGCGATGTCTCTCTGTCAAGCGACTCCAAAACCTAGTTCCATTTAAAATTCATCAAAGTGAGTGATGAATATTGAAGAGAAGCGTACTAAATATTTTCATATCTTGTTTCCTTTTTTTCCCTTCCTGATTCGACGTTCAGATAAAATGTAGTATTTTCAAGGAAGATTTTTTACTAGCAATAAGCAAAGCATTTATTTTGACCGAATTACAACTAAGCTTTCATCCAGATTATTAACAGGACAAGTAGGAATCTACGTGGTATTTTGTCTAGCTAGGGCTATGTATACTTATACATATACATTAGCCATGATAGCATACCGCGGACTACCTAGCCAGCTACAATTTATACCTATCCGTTATTTTGTAAAGTATTCATATTCGAGTTTCTTAGCTATACAATTGACAATTGGCACATTTTAATCAAATTGTTCGCAGTCCTTTTTCACAGCTGGGCCTCGATACATCGGATTTTTGAGTTAGCTGACGAATAGAGACTCTCAGTTGGTATACACCTGGGAAATTAGGATGTAAATTTCCATTCGCTCGCTCCTGCGGACCTATATTCACCGTTTCTTTGTTTTCATCGGAAATTTAAGGATACAAAGTCTCAGGGGTCTTCCTGCGCGAAGACAGCAAGATTAGGCCGCGAGGGAAGATGAATAAAGGGGCTAACACATACACAAGGGCTCCAAGATAAAATTCACACCTTCTGATAGGAAAATTGGATCCCGTTGATTACAAATGTGAATATTTCGTTGTTTATTTTATTTGTATTGCTGTGAGCTGATTTAACGTTACCAACAAGGTTAGTATCTACTTACATCTCTATAGATAGATACGTGTATGATATTCCAAGAAAGAATAACGAAGATACATCATATTTAAAAGAAAATATTTATATAGAGACATATCAATAGCGCTTGATTTACCAACAACAAATGATACCTACAACGTTACGTCTCTGACTAGTTTATAGTACCTGTGGTTACAATACAAAATCCATGGAAAATAAATAAAGTACCTAGGTAGCTTCTTATGTCTACAAACATTTTACTCGTCATTTTCATTTCGCTCTTACCTGTCGAAGTTACTAGGACCGAACACACATCGATATAATAACTATGTAACCTGTACATTAATGTACATCGACAACACGTCTTGGAAGCACTCCGGAGACATGAACACTATTAAAAGTTCGACTAACTCCGTGAGAGTAGCGACGCAACTAGTTTATGTTAGAGACCTATCTAAGCACCAAATAGCCTCGGAGATGTAATTCTTACAACGCTAGCTAGTGGTTGTAAGTTTGATACTTCGGACATGACAAAATCTCAGGAGGACGATAGTAAAGATAGGTAAAACTTCTTTTGTTTTATTATCTCTATCGTTTGGTATAAATTATCTGATTATTTTTCTACTTTAAAAAAAAAATTCTACCTAGAAGTAGTTGTCTTCGACTGTAGCATTTTTCTTTTAAACAAAGACTCGAGCTCAACGTTAACGGTCAGTTTTGGATAAATTTGATCTTAAAATGTTTGTTGTAGTCCACAAAAGGTTTAAAAGGTGAGAAATCGAAAAAACAACTAATAAAAAAAAAAAATGTTATAGCTAAGGCAGTACAAAGTTTGCCGGGAAGTTAGTATACATATATAAAAATGAATTGCTGTTTGTAAGTCTTGCTAAAACTCAAGAAAGCCTGGACCGAGATGGCTTATTGTGGCCTTGATATGTTCCTCCATGGATATACAGGGAACGTTTAAACGGTTAGACAAATTCTAAATTAAAAGGAAATGTAAGTTATATTTTAGGCATTACGAAGTTTGCCAGGCAAGTGCATCTATATTACGAACTTGTAAATACAGAAGATAAATATTTTAAACTACGACGCAGCACTCAATGCTACGCCGCGCCGGGCGACGCTGAAGCTAAAGCCTATGCTACAAGTAATTTATACCTCAACAAGTCCTTTACCGATTCGGCCAATTTTGGAATTAATCCTTGAATTATTCGTGGAAGTCCAGACGGTGTTTGAAAGTAGAGAAAATTAATAAAGAGACATGAACACGTGTAAAATCGACATCCACGCAGTCGGAGCTGCGGGCGACCGCTATTCTTTTGTAATATTTATGATATTCAAAAACATTAATAACACTTTAGTAAAAGAATATGTGCTACAAAAATGATCTTTATTTATTGTTTGTCTACAGTTTACTCTACCGAGGCAAAAAGTAATATAATCACGAAACTCTCATATATTTTAATAAACATAAACAAAACTCTGAACTTCTTTTGAAACAACTATATATTACTTACCGTAGGTACACAATAAGCGCCTGTTGTGTGATGCTGTATGTTTATACAAGTATAATTTATAACTTACTAGCTTCTGCCCGCGACTTTGTCCGCGACTTTAGTCGTTCATGACTTTTGGCAGAATTTTTTCGTTCCAATTTCCAATTTTGAAAACAAAAATAATCAAGTCGCTCAGGTTAGTGATGAACTAGTATAACAAAAAAGATTCATTCAAATCCGTTCATTCGTTCCGGGGATGAGCGTGTACTGAACTACTGACAAACATGCAAAACAATATTATACTGCACCCTTTTTGGTTTTCTTGAAAAATATTTGTACAGTGTACATTTATATGGTATAGGGGATTGTGAATAAGTAATGGGTAGATTTTTCTTTAAATTATTTAGATTATTTTGTAGTATACAGTTATAAATGATATGATTTTGATTTCGAATTTAATACTGCAATCGTAATTCGTATCTTAAAAGCATCTCCACAGTACTCTCGAGGTGAAAATAAAGCGCAGTTTACACAATAATAAACTGCAGTAACTAACTAACAAAATACAAGTTGGAACTTCAACAACTGGGCCACTGACCGTACCGCTTTAGAAGCGGTTAACGTAATTAACGTGAGTTGGACCTTCAGTTAAATTGCTTCATTAATTTATTAGACCAGCGTTCGTGATTGACCATAGCAGTTAGTTGCTGAGAGTGCTTTTCAATTCAATTTCAGATGTCAAGGGTATATTTTATTTTTTTATAGAGTTTTACGTCTCGTTGATAGATTCTTCGTGACAGGTAATAGATTTAGATGGGTGCTATTTTTGTTATTGAAAATTGTTATTAAAATAAATGAATTGGTCTTTCCGGCCTGGGGGGCGCACACGCTTGATTCCTCAAGCGCGTTTCGTTAGACTTGCCTCCTTGCAAGAGCCTTGTGTCAGATTCGAAATAACTAAAAATCACCTCGTTCCTTCATCGATGCTCATTGCGATTGCAACCCAGCAGGCAGTTGTGATTGGATTGGTTGTGGATCCCCAGCGCGGTGATGTGCTAGTTATCTATAACTTTGAAATTAATAAGTTATGAGTAATGGTATTTTTTTTTAGTAAAAGTTATTTTTAATGTTTTGTTCGGAGGCCCAAACTTCCTCATCCTTCTCTAATTCTAAATCTCTAAAGTCCTATGTCCGAAAA